TTCTGTCTTCTCTTTCAAAAGACCTGTCTTAGTAGGTCTTACCACCTCATGGTCAACTGAAAATATCTCATAGGGTATAATTGGTCTTGGAGGGTAAGTAGGGAGACAGGAGAAGGCTATTTTCTTTTCCCTGTCGTGGCCTGCTGCACGCTTATGCCTCCTGCTTGCTGAAGAGGTTTACCTGCTCTTGTCCTTATATTCTGTAAAAGCCCTTTTTGGCTCTTGTTTATTTTTTTCAGAGTTTATCCAAGAGGTATACGCATGGTGTTCTTTTTCAAGTATTTTATAGTATGGATGTCTTTGGGATTAGAAGAATTAGCCTCAGGAGAGGGAATGAAACAAAGGATCACACAGCACTTGTTTCATATCTGCACATTGAATTAGAGCCACGATTTTGATCTGCAGGATTCCTGGCAGTTCCTGGGACTTGAGTCTTCCTTCTCAGTCTGGTGGAGTGTTATGTTTGGATGCAGCCCAGACTGGAGATTTCCAAGAGCCAAGATGAGAAAAAGGGATGATGCTTCTCTCTCTCTCTCAATTCCTCTAAGGAGCACCAGCCACCTAGGGGTCCCTGCAGCTATTCTGCAAAGTTTGGGTCACGTAATTGTTCAAGGAGCTACAGAAAGTGACAGGGTAGAGGACTGAATGGGATATTATAGAATTGTCCATGATGTCCATGTTTATTTTAAAGAATATTTAAAATCCACTGTTCTGTTTCTCCATTGCTTCCTTCCTGCTTCAGGGGGGAAGGACGACTTAATGTGAGCTAGAGTGGAAATATGCTGGACTTTGTGTTATCTTGTTACTTCCTTGGGTAGTTAGAAGGAGGTTTTTACATCTAGTTTATGCTCTTGTTAGAGCTGTTTCTTTTCTTCAGACTAACCATGTTGAGCAGTACCAGTTTTCGGTTTTGGGTTTTTTTTTAAGTAGCTCCTGCCCAAACATTTCAAAATCAAGCAAAAGTAATCACAATCTTTCTCTTCACTTGAAAACATAACATTTTTTTGACAACAAGTGCCTTTAAAGAAATGCCTCTTAATTTATGGTGGGTTGCTTTGTACTTTATTTCTGTAACCTATCGCATTACATTTCCTGTGTGTTGAGTATGTATGTATTAACGGGCTCTTAAAAACAAATATTCCAGAAGAAAGGAATTCAGTAAATGAATAAAACATTCTTGGGTAGCCCAAGTGGCAGTTTAATAGCTTATCCACTGGGACTTTCAAATAATATAATGATGATGGCCGTATAAATATGTGGATAGATGAACAGCTTCAATGGGGAGCTTGTTACAACTCCGCATACCACATCTGAAATGAAATCAAACTCCAAAAGTGCTGCCTGATGTGAAGGTCCAACTTTTCCCGTGCCAACCCTGAAATTATACCTAAAAATATACAAACTGTGTGTATGTATACATATATATACATATATATAGTATGCATTCCCAAATACACACACACACATATATACAAATGTTTCCAGTGGAATTTAGTGTTCCAGGACTGATTCTGACTGCACTGAACCACTAAACTTTGTGGACTGTTGACGTGACTGGATTTATAGCAGTGTATTTGAGATTAGGTCTTAGCCCTGGCTTTCTCTAAAAATAAATAGATATGTGAAATGGGAATGTAAGGTTGTCATGTTATATTGCCTGGGATGTACACAACTTTTTCATTAGGTTCACCTAATCACACGGCTTTGTAAGTATCTACCTGGATGCCTGTCTGCCATGGCACAGTCTGTCACCTTGGATCTGGCTAACCTGAAGGTAAAGTTTTGAATCGATGTTGCTTGTAGCAATGAATTTCTCAGGAAAACAGATTGCTGACTGTGGTGGACCTGGAAACCCAGTGTTGATGGCCGTGAATGACAGAGAGAAACCAGCTCAGGCTGAATGATGGTGTGGACAGGAGAAACTAGACCACCAAATGAGACGTAGATAGGATAATACGATTCGTTTCATTTATCCAGGGAGACCTGTTTCTGGGAAGCTGCTGAGTTGTGGTGAAATAAAGTCTGGGTGCTCACATGAAACCTAACATCACTTTCTCTTAGCAATGGGGTGAGACTGGTGTAGCAGTACAGGCAGAGGATGCTGCAGTGCTCGTAGTGAAAGGCAGCAATACAGTGATTTGTCTGCTGAGTATTTTAATAATGACATATCACGAAGAGGCACAGCCCTTTATTTTGTTATGAGTTGGGTCTCAGAATTTCTCATTCCCCTTGGCTGGCTTTTCCTTGGCAACATACCATTTGTTGGTTGTATTTTCTACTTGAGAGCATCGTCTCCCACTCCAGACTGAAGCAGCAGCTTTAAGTGGCAGCATTCAAAGTGATCATATAAAGCCCCATGAAAATAAGGGACTTGGATATTTTCACACTGGTGGATTAAGCTGATGAATGTGCTGTGCTGAAAAATAAGGTGCCACTGCTCTGATTGTTTAGTTGAAATGGCAACAATAAAAAAAAAAATCTTTCCTACATGAAGTAGAAGGATTCCATCCTGGGTCTCCTGGGAATCAACCCGAGTGTGGGACAGCATGGGGAGAACACATACGCCAGGTGTATTGGGAGATTGTGCATATTTGATGTATAAACTGTATGGGATGAGGTGTTAATCATAGGACTCACATGGAATGTGCACAACGATTGAGTGGATGTATTCAGAATAGGAAATGGCATATGTAATTCTGTGGATATTTGCCTGTTACTGAGGAATGTGGGTCCAGGAGGTCATACAGTCTTACATTTTTATTTTCAAAGGGAATACTTTTTTTGTTGTTTGTATAATAAAAAAGAAAATAAGCAAACAAAGCGGAAGGAGAACTGCATGTGAAAATAAATGAATTGAAAGCTGAGCGTCTTGACAAACACTTGGGAGAATTGATTAAATTGATTACTATGTTAAACAATGGCTTATAGACTCTGGGATTTGGAAGTTAAGTGTTTTGTGTGAACATTGTAACATCACTGCAATAAACTGATTGTTGTTAAAACTTCAGTAGTCATTCAGTTATATTGGAAGTGATAACTAACAGGAATTCATATTCCAAAACTTGCATGCAATTTATAAGTCTCCTAGGGGATGTTGAAATCATGCTGGAAATTTAAATTAACCCCTCTCATTATCAACAACTTTTCCTATCCTTTTCCACTCTATTCTAGCTTGGAGAAAACTATGTTTTCAAGCAGCTTTTAAATGACAATGAGAACAATGTATGTGTGCAGTGGGTCTTTCAATAATTGTCTTTTAAAATTGATTTTTATGATTTTCAGGAGCAGCAGTGAATGTACTCTGTAACAAAGAAGCTTATTCACACTGCCTCACTGGAAGCACCTGCCTAGCTTCCTCAGGCTCCTTTCCTCTGTTTTCAGTGGGAAACACTAAGCAGGACCCGTCTCCCAGCTTCTGCAGCACCCTCCAGTACCCTTCAACGAGGTTTCTGCTTACCCTGTCTCCATGGAACTTCCCTATTTAGATCCCTGAAGCGAGGCAGTGGAGCTATTCCCCAACAGGACTGTATGGAAAACTCCAAATCTTCCCCAAATGGTTGCTTATTAATTACATTTGAATACTTGCCTTTACAGCAATCCTTCTGAAATGAGTGGCAGGGCTCGTGCTGCTTTAAGGTGGCTGGAGTGGGACAGACTGGACTGAGATAGGCTGAGGCGATGGAGCCATGTGCCTTATTTGTAGCCAAATTCTGCTTTGGGTTGCCAAAATGAAATGTGGGGTAAGCTGGGATTCACTTCCAGCTGAGCAGAGATGGTCTGGGTGGCCTGTTGGCAGCAGGACAGGTTGTGGGGGACCGGTTAGCTCAGTGGTTTGAGCGCGGTGCTGAGAACAAGGACCAACACCGAGGTCGCGGGTTTGATTCCTGCTCGCTCCCCATGTGTTGCCTGGTCTAGTCGAGAGGTGGAGTCCCTGCCCAAAACAGGGAGGTTGGACTAGATGATCTCTAAGGTCCCTTCCAGCCTAGGCCATTCTAACATTCTATGATTCACATTTCTAAGGCTGAGATGGCAATAGTACCCGGCGAATGGAGCATTTATTGGGCATTTGGAAAAAGATGTTCTTCTGTGACCTCATTTGGGATATGTTACCCAGTGTGTTTGGTTGAAAGTGGTGGCCATAATTACAGATGCGTTGTGGTGCATATACAAGGGTCGAGTTAAGTCCTACAGGCTATCGCAGCTGTGCTGTTTCCTAACCTGAGGGCTTTATTGAGCAGTTTTGTTTTCTTCATTGTATTTTGCCTGTTCTTAGTGTCTGGATATATGTATACATACGTATATGTGTATATAGTTGCATTTAATTAGTTATAATTCTTCCTAATTTTGTTTTTTTCGAAGGGTATCTGTAATTAAAGTAATGGCTGAGTGGTGACTTTTATGTGCTACTTGTTCTTGGTGGCTCAAATGTCATCGATCATGTGATCTTTCTTAACTCCTCAAAAAAAAAAGTAACATTTGATTATCACAATGCTACATACATAATGAAAAGCCTGTCTCCTTTCAAAACACTGAGGCTAGAAATGAGTTTTCCAATGTGCTCTAAAACCAAAGAAAATTAGCCTTAGTTGGAGCTACTGATATATAAATCAAATAATTTCTTTACGTGATTCATCTTCTTACAGAAACTTATTTAAATGTGTGTGTCTGAAGCTAATTTTTTTCACTGTTTTAATTATTCTGGACTGCATGTGTGTGTATAGATGTGGCAGGGTGTCAGAGGTTTTTTTATGTTAAAAAATGTATGCACATACATACACATAGTTACATATATGTGCTTGCATACATGTTACACACTCACACACATGCGAAAACAGAATCCAAAAGTGCTGTGCTTGCATGCGTGTATATAGTATTCTTTTTTTGTTTTCTTGGATACATAGTGACTAGTTATTACATATGCTTTATTTTTTATGAGAAATTTAGTAAGTATTTTGACATGTCGCTTCAGAGTACAGTTTTTATCTGTTGATCAACTGTTCCCTGTTTTCTCTCTCTGTCACAGGGTGAAAGAATGATGTGATGGAGGTGAATATGGGCCGCTGGTCAGGCTCACGGCCACCTCCGTCATGCCTTGCCCTGCTCGTTGTCAAGCTCCTGGCCTCCGTTTGCCAGGTAGTTCACGGGACCACCCCGCTTGGCTTTCACTTCACACATTCCACTTACAATGCTACGGTGTACGAGAATTCTGCAGCCAGGACTTACGTGAACAGCCAAACGAGGATGGGCATTACCTTGGCTGACCTTTCGTGGGATATCAAGTACAGAATAGTGTCTGGTGATGACGAGGGCTTTTTTAAAGCAGAGGAAGTCATCATTGCTGACTTCTGCTTCCTAAGAATAAGGACTAAAGGTGGGAATTCTGCTATATTGAACAGAGAAATCCAGGACAACTATTTATTGATGGTGAAGGGTTCTGTCAGAGGAGAGGACTTGGAAGCATGGACAAAAGTGAACATCCAGGTTTTGGATATGAATGACTTAAGACCTTTGTTTTCACCAACCACATACTCTGTCACGATAGCAGAAAGCACTCCTTTAAGGACTAGCATTGCACAGGTGACCGCAACAGATGCGGATATTGGGTCCAATGGTGAATTTTATTATTACTTCAAAAACAAAGTCGATCTCTTCTCCGTTCATCCTACAAGTGGTGTTATCTCCTTAAGTGGCCGGTTAAACTACGATGAGAAAAACAGGTATGATCTCGAGATTTTGGCTGTGGACCGTGGGATGAAACTTTATGGAAACAATGGCGTAAGCAGCACTGCCAAGCTTTATGTTCACATTGAACGTATAAATGAACATGCCCCAACGATAAGTGTCGTAACCCATACTCCCTTCCCATCAGATAAGGAGCCTACCTATGCAGTTGTTAACATTGATGACCTGGATGAAGGAGCCAATGGAGAAATAGAATCTGTTTCTATTGTGGCTGGAGATCCGCTGGAGCAGTTCTTTCTGACTAAAGAAGGTAAATGGATGAATGAGTACAAAATCAAAGAGAGAAGGCCTGTTGACTGGGACAGCTTCCCGTATGGTTATAACCTGACTCTCCAAGCAAAGGACAGAGGATCTCCTCAGAAATTTTCTGCGGTCAAACTGGTCCACATTGCTAGTCCCAAGAAAGAAACCATCCCCCTGAAATTTGAGAAGGAAATGTATGATATTTTGATCAGCGAATTTTCACCTCCTGGTGTGGTAGTTGCAGTAGTTAAGCTGGTGCCTGAGCCACAGGGTGTGGAATACAGAATATCTCCAAGTGAGGAAGCTGAGTATTTTAAGATCAATCCCAACACAGGCCTTATTACTACTGCTCGTCCTTTGAAAATCGTTGAGAAGGACCTCTATGAATTAGAAGTATATACGAACAAAGGTGGTGATTTAAAAGCACAGGTTACTGTCAGGTTAGAAGATGCCAATGATCACACTCCGGAGTTCCAGCAGCCCTCCTACAGCTCATTCGTCAACGAAAGCGTCCCTGTGGGGTCTAGCGTTTTGGCAGTTTCAGCAGTTGATAAAGACCAGGGAGAAAATGGATACATAACGTATAGCATTGCCAGTCTGAACTCCCTGCCGTTTGCGATAAACCAGTTTACAGGTGTCATCAGCACATCTGAGGAACTGGACTTTGAGTCCTCACCAGAAAGCTACAGGTTCATTGTGAGAGCTTCTGACTGGGGTTCTCCCTACCGCCATGAAAGCGAGGTGAATGTCACCATTTACATAGGCAATGTCAATGATAACAAACCAAAATGGCATGTCAGGGAGTGATTTCTTCTGATTTTCCTGTTGGTGGTCACGTCACTGCTGTTTCTGCGATAGACATAGATGAGTTAGAGCTTGTGAAGTACAAGATAATCTCTGGAAATGAACTTGGCATTTTTTATTTAAATCCTGACTCTGGTGTCCTACAACTTAAAAAATCTCTAATTAATTCTGGCATAAAGAATAGCAATTTTGGCCTTAAGATAACAGCAACTGATGGAGAGAACTTTGCTGATGCTATGTTTGTTAATATTTCAGTAGTGCAAGGGAAAGTGTCTTCAAAGACCTTTAGCTGTAGAGAGACCAGAGTTGCTCAGAAGCTAGCAGAAAAATTACTCAAAAAGGCAAAAGCAAATGTGAAGCTGAATTTGGAAGATGGTTTTCTTGATTTTTATTCGGTGAACAGGCAGGCACCGCATTTTGACAAAAAAAAAACGTGAAGGTTTCAGAGGATCTGCCAGTGGGTGCCACCATCCTGAGAATAAAAGCCTATGATGCAGACTCAGGCTTTAATGGAAGAGTGCTTTATACAATTTCTGATGGTAATGTAGATAGTTGTTTCAACATTGACATGAATACAGGAGTACTTAATGTTCTTATGCCCTTGGACCGTGAAAAAACAGAGCTCTATCTCCTTAATATTACAATTTATGATTTAGGTAATCCCCAGAAATCTGCGTGGAGACTGTTGACTGTTACTGTGGAGGATGCAAATGATAACAAACCTATTTTTCTACAGGAGAGTTACTCAGTTAATATTCTAGAAAGCACAAGTCTTGCTACAGAGATTATCCAGGTAGAAGCCAGAGATAAAGACCTAGGATCTAATGGTGAAGTGACTTACTCAGTACTGACAGACACACAGCAGTTTGCTATCAACAGTTCCACGGGGATGGTGTATGTGGCTGATCAACTAGACCGGGAATCAAAAGCAAACTACACACTAAAGATCGAGGCTAGGGACAAAGCAGATAGTGGCCATCAGCAGTTTTCCGTTGTGCCTCTCAAGGTTTTTTTGGATGATGTCAATGATTGCTCTCCAGCCTTCATACCATCCAGCTACAACGTGAAGGTCCTTGAGGACCTGCCGGTTGGCACTGTCATAGCTTGGTTGGAAACTCACGATCCAGATCTCGGCTTGGGAGGTCAAGTCCGTTACTCGCTGGTGAACGATTACAACGGGCGGTTTGAGATAGACAAAGCGAGCGGCGCCATCCGCTTGAACAAAGAGCTCGATTACGAGAAGCAGCAGTTCTACAACCTGACCGTGCGCGCAAAGGACAAGGGGCGCCCAGTTTCTCTCTCTTCTGTTTCGTTTGTGGAGGTTGAAGTGGTGGATGTTAACGAAAATCTCTATACCCCCTATTTTCCTGACTTTGCCATCATTGGATCTGTAAAGGAAAACTCCCGCATTGGTACAAGTGTTTTACAAGTTGTTGCTCGAGACGAGGACTCTGGAAGGGATGGAGAGATCCAGTACTCCATCAGGGATGGCAGCGGCCTGGGGAGATTTAGCATAGATGAAGAAACTGGTGAGTGCTGTTTCTAATTTTCTTTTCCCTTTGTAGAGTTTTTTTCACAAAAGCAAATCTTAGATGTAATTATTTTCTACCCTTAACAAAAAGTCCAGTTCTTCTTAACAGGCAAGATAAAATTATAAATAAGGATTTTCCAGGCACAGCAATGACATGATTTAATTACCTGGTTACATTCATCACTCTGTGGGTGTGAAATAATACACATTCCTTTTCAGCAGCTATGTGATGGCTCCATTTAGAAAGCAGTGATAGTTACAGAATGACTTACTTCCAGTCACCATATTATCTGTTGATTGTTGTAAATTACTTGGGTCACCTCCACAGAGTCACAACTCTCATGGCCTTGAATGCAGCGTTAAAGCAAATAAAAGGAAATAAGGAGCACAAAAAAAGAATCATTTCATCCTAAAACCTCTTTGTGGTCTTGTTCTTATTGTTGTTGGGAGTCATTTTCATGGGAGTTAGCAGTCTGGAATGATAAGCTATTCTGTATAATACGCTTTCTTGGAGAGTGGAGTTCATCAGTGTTTGCACATTTGTGTAAAGGTAGAAATACTGGGAAAGATGCTTAGCTGTATGCCAGCCATGCTGGTTTTCTGTTGGTGGTGGTAGGATTATGGATATTAGAAGACAGTATTACTAGAGAGAAATTTTCTAAGATGAACTTCACTGCCACACTACCCTATTGGAATATATGAAAGGTGCTAAGTATAAAGGGCTATCTAGTAAAAAACTGGTGGTTTAAATGTCTGATAGCTGTTGGGAGTAATGGTGCAGCTGTGGTAGTAGTAGGAGTGAGGAAATTAGAAAATATTAGTCAGCGGTTCCAGAAATTATATTAAATATGTTAGGTCTGTGAGTTTAGTGTGGTTTAAGCAGACGTTGTGTGTCTTTTTCTAAAGCTTCTAATTGAGAATGTGGTATTAAAACATAAGATTAAAATGTATGTTTTGGCAAATTCAAACTGTTTAATCAAATGTCGACTTTCTAAACTGAACATTATGAAAAACAGACGACATTACAAATGCTGTGGATCGCATCTGAGCATAAGCAGTCAAAAATATTTTTGTTCTATTTATGCTGTTGTCTCTCTGTTGCAGCTGTGCACAGATGATACAGTCAAAAACTCATGTCTGGAAACATCAAACTTGAGTGTCAGAAGTCAAGAGGGCACCTACTCTAATTTCCAGAAACGTTAAGAGGTCACATATCCTGCAGTGTTAATAGCAGTGGAAGGCATTTGGGCAACGTTATGTAGCAGTTGAACATGAATTTAATTTTAAGCTCCTGCATTTGAAGATTTTGGCCTGGCTCCTTACTGAGTAGCTTCAGTTAAATGGGTTTTTTATAAATCAATGGGAGATTAGTCCGAATGCTACAGTATTGCTCTGAAAATGTCAAGATTCAACATTTACTGAACTGAAAGGAGTTGGTAGGGAGAGTAAGTTTGTGCATGTTGCTCATTTATAATTTAACCAGGATTTTTACTCTGCGGCTAGACTAGTAGGCACGATAGCCTATAATAAGTTAGAGCCCCCATTCAGTAAAGCACAAATCATGTTTTGACATGTGTGGGATATGCACTCGGTATTCCACATTAAACATGTTTAGTTTCTTTCCAGAATTGAAATCTAGTTTGTGGGAGAGGAAAAAAAGAAAAAAAATAACCCCCTGAGTTGAAATTTGCAAATATTTGTCTGCCTTTCCTACTTTCTGGAGTATTTTCATGAGGATGAACCAGCCTGTGCTATTTCACTGAACCATTCGGGAAGACACTTGATAATCCAGCAGATCAAAAGACTTTCAGGTTCTTCCTCAGTCTGCTTTCCTCGGCTGCTCCATACAGCTTAAGCCTTCTCAAACCAACTTGGAGAATGCTTGGGTGTGTGGCTGCAGCCCAAGCTATGTGGAGAGCAGGCCTTGAGGGTTTGGGAGTTCCTTGCAGCCGTGCGGCTGTAACCCGAGTGCAGAATTTGACCTGCTGTGTCAAACAGGACACAGCATTAATACTCTTCTATTGAACTGGTGGCAGCTTGAATGCTGCTGAATGATGAATCAGCTTTCTAGCTGTAGAAAAGAGCTCAAGTCACATATTGAATTAATTTACAAAGAGATAGCTGTTTATTTACTTTCAGCGCAGTTAATTTGTCACTTTTAAACTGACCGACTCTATTGGCTTATGCACAGCTGCTCCTGAAATTTGTGAAGGTAAGCGGGAGCGCAAAGTACAACAAATCAATATTTTTGGCTGCTGCCTTAATGAAAAGAAGACTGCAGTATCCATTATATCATTAGGATATAAACTGGACCAAATTCATCCTGATTATGTGAGCAAGCTGGACTCCAAGCAGGTCTGTGCTTTCAGCAAAATTCTGCTTGAGTGCATTATTTTTGTTCTTCTGCAATATTGCATCTTAATGGTGTTGCCCCCTGTGCTGAGATATGCCTGTGCTCCCCAAAGCACGTCGATACTGAGGAAGAGTAATGGTGCAAGAGGTACCCTGGCCTGCATGGTGGATCCACACCGGACCATGCTGCTGCACGCTTGTCAGCGTGGTGACCTTGTTCTTGTGCCATTATAGATGGATAGAGGTGCATATAGGTGCATCTTGCTCCACTGAGCTTGAGCTGGCTTTTGGTGTGGATTCCACACCTGGGCTGTTCTCCATTCAGGTCTGAACAGTGGTTCGTGATCAGCAAGCTTGGGAGTCTCCTGCATATGGGCCAATGTGGCTCTATCTGCATAGGGATATATACTATGGGATGCATCCCAAGCAAATCTTGGTGCTGTTACAGTTTGATAAGAGATTTGTCAAGAGAGTGAGCCTGGGGGTTTCTTCCCACACTGCTGCTCTTTGTCCTAGAGAATTGGTTTTCAGAATTATCATTGTGCTACAGCAGTTGCTCCTAAATACTCATACAGCAGTTGCTGCTAATACACATGTGGTAGTAACCAGAAGCACAGTGAGTGTTTGCCAGCTAGAAGTATGTGATGAAGTGAAATTTTACATGTATTTGGTCACACATCCAAATACTTGTGAATTACTTCCAAATTTGTTTCAGTGCATTTACTTTACTTTTCCAGGAGACAGAGCTGATACAAAGTTGTAAAGCAATGAAAACTGTCCTGAAGTAGAAGGCAGCAGTTCCTGACCTCTTCCAACTCCATCCCTGGTTTCCTACTTGTATCTTAGCCAGAAGACTAAATTTCTCATGGGTTTGCAACTCAATTCATGATTCATAGCAAAAAAATTGGTTTAAGACTATTCTAGAGGTTAAAAAAAATAAAGGATTTGTTTGATATTTTTATTAGAGAACTCTTATTTGTTGATTCCTGCCTCAATGGAGATGGAGTTTGTCACCAGCCTACGTGTATAGTTCAAACTAACTGATTTTCTGTCTTCATTGACTTGTTTATTAACTGTTGGCATAAATGTCACAAGCTTGCCATTTAAAATCCATGTGCTGAGGGACACGTAATGTCTGCCATTTATGGTTTCTCTTTTTCGTTCTGTCTCCCATTCAAAACTGCTTTTTTTTCCCCATCCCTCTCATACTCTTGGACTCAAGGGATATAATATACATGATGAAATATGGTCATCTACAGTCAGAACTGGTCACTGTAGACTTTCCTCATAGTCAGCAGAGAGAAATGGGCAGCTGAGAAACGTGATTGATTTTAATCTAAACTAAAAAAATGAACTAAGTTGGATGAATCATGTTCTTAAAATATGCAAAGGTGCTTGCATGACTAGCTTGGAGGTAGAGGTCTATGCTGAACCTCTTGTTTTGGTCAGATGTAACCTGTCCCTGTTAACTGTAAACAAGAGTATCTGCTGTCAGCTTTACACGCTACATAATTTGTGATGACTCTTCTCTGCCAGTTTCATATTTTTAGCTGAATTTCAGAGAATTGTCTCTCAGTGTGAAATCCACATACAAATGCACCTCTAGAAATAAAAAGTGGCTTTTAGAAGGCTTTTAGAAGTGTAGGGGATAAGTGTTATGCGACTAATATTTTATAATTTTTCATTTTCTGAGTTTACAGGTCTAGACAGAGCATCCCACACTCTTTTCTATCTGTAGGAAGTCAAGATCTGATGTTTTGACCTTACTTGCAGACGTGGATGGTAACATTCCCTTTAAGCAACTGAGGGACTGGAGGGAAACTTGAGCCATTTCTTCATCTCTAGTGCTGCTTCCCGCCTGCTGTCTTCTTCCACATCCTCCACAATCTGCTAATTCCAATTCTTTAGAAGAGAATTGTGTCAAAACCCATCTATGTTTCCAGATTGTTGTAACATAGAATGAGCAGAGATCTGTTAAATATTTTTCTGTCATGATAGTGTACTCTGAGTTTTTGTCATAGTGATAGCTCTGATAGGTATAACTACTCTTCTGGAAATGTTCTCTGTCACAAGTCCTCTCCTGCCACCTTAAAAAGCTGGATTTTCTCAGCTCTGATATATGTACCCTCGTAGAGCTGATACCACAGCAAATTGGTGTATTTGTATTGTCTCAGGAGCTGGTGACGAGTCCAACTAATGCATGTGGGTTTATGATACCACCTACCTTGGATGACTGAATACCATGCAGCAGTACTTCTTTTCTGACTGCAAGTAAGGACTTGGAGAACTAGTGAGACTTCCTGACTTGTCAAAAGGTTGAGTTAGATGAGATCAGTCCTAGCTTAAATGCTGACGTCTTCCTTCTCATTTTTTTAATGACTTGTGGTTCAGCTAAACAGCATTTTTGACTCAAACTCCGCTTTTTCGTCTGGCATGTGTTTCTCCTCTGTGCACAGTTGATGTAACAGCCTGGCACGCAAAGAGTTTCTATATTTACCCCTACACTACTCGCTGATGTACTAGTAATACAAAATGAATGAAACGAGTTCTAGAGGAGCAGAGAGACTACTAAACACACTCAGCATCTTCTGCTGAAGAGACTTCTGTAGGCTTGGTTGGAATTGGTGTGGCAGTGCCATGGAATGC